TTTTTCTCTCTCGACGGGGACGGGAAAACAAGGAAAACATCTTTCCTTTGCGTTGTTTCTGTGGTTTGATAAATAACATTTCTAAAACTAATTCAGGACACCAGTCGAAAATAGGTTTGTCAAAATTCATAAGCGTTGTATGTTTGTGGGAATTTACATGAACGCATTCATCATAACACAGTATGTAAATGCAATAACTACAAATATGTGCTCCCTGAACATGCCTCGGAATGAGTCAGTGATTGCTTACTGTTGCTGCTTTTTATGTTCAGTGAATCATTGTCTAAGGCCACACCAGCATCTAACCTGCATGCGATGTCCTCTGATGGATGTTCATGTTTTTCTGATGTTGGTGTCACATTCTTTAAGATTTTTAGTTTTTTAATTGTTTTTTTTCTTTAGAAATGAAATACGCAATCCCTATAATTGACGAGTTGTTATGATATGTAAATCCCACTATTTAAGAGCTAATGCTTATCTAAATCAGACCTAGAGAAAAAACAGCAATCTCTGAATTCTAATCTTTCACCCAGCTGCAGATGATTCCTGTCATGCGCTGCCTCTGAGACATTCAGCATAAGAACAAGCGAGATATTCAGCAGAGAAACATAATACTAAACACGTAGCACCAAACAGGTTGCACATAACACACGAATCGCACGGCTGAAGGTCTGAGTCAGCTCCTCTAAGAACCCCGCCTATTTCGTGACGTCACTGTGTGGTAACATCTCGTGCGGTTCGTGCCAGATACCGCCGGGAGAATTATTTGCATTTGTTTACTGTATCTTGTCCAAAAATAGTTAAGGAAATTAGAACTGCTGAAATGCTAACGGTACTTGGTACATTTGAATGAGTGTTCATTTTTATAATTCATAGCTTATATTGAGTAGTGTCCATACGAGATAATAGTATTCACCGTATTGGATAGAATGTGTTATAACAATGTACTGTGGAAGATACACGCCAACTGTTTGTGATGCAAACTGAAAGAGCTCTCTCTCTCTCTCTCTCTCTCTCTCTCTCTCTCTCTCTCTCTCTCTCTCTCTCTCTCTCTCTCTCTCTCTCTCTCTCTCTCTCTCTCTCTCTCTCTCTCTCTCTCTCTCTCTCTCTCTCTCTCTCTCTCTCTCTCTCTCTCTCTCTCTCTCTCTCTCTCTCTCTCTCCTTACAGAGCGCCGTTCGCGTTTTCTATTTATGGTAACAAAATGCTCACACGAAATGCCAATGTATGATATCAGACAAGGAAAGGTTTATTGCTTTATTGCATTTGTTATATGGTAGATATATGCGATCATGAACATATATACATGTATATGTGTGTGTGTGTGTGTGTGTGTGTTTATGTGTAGATGCATACACACGCTACAATCACACACACACACACACATATCTATCTGTATATGCTGATATATACACATACATCTATATATGCATGTCTATATGTGTATGCATATATATATGAATATACATATATATATATATATATATATATATATATATATATATATATATATATATATATATATATTATATATATATATATATACCTATATATATTCGACAATACTCGCATGCATATATATATATATATATATATATATATATATATATATATATATTAAATATAATGCATATATTTATATGTATATATGTATATATATATATATATATATATATATATATATATATACATATACACACATCAACACGCATATGCATACATATATATGTATAAATATGTATATATACATATATATTGCATTATATGCTAATGTATAAGTATATGTATGCACACATATGTAAGAATTAATAAATAAACAATTATACATATATATATATATATATTATATATATATATATATATATATATAATATATATACATATATATATATATATGCATATATATATAGGTATATATATATATATATATTATATAATATATATATATATATATATTCGACAATACTCGCATGCATATATATATATATATATATATATATATATATATATATATATTATATATATATATATATATATATATTTAAATATAATTATATTTATATGTATATATATGTACATATATATATATATATATACATATACACACATGAACACGCATATGCATACATATATATGTATAAAATATGTATATATACATATATATTGCATTATGCTAATGTATAAGTATATGTATGCACACATATGTAAGAATTAATAAATAAACAATTATACATATATATATATATATATATATATATATATATATATATATATATATATATATATATATATGTATATATATGGTGTGTTTGTGTGCGTGTAAGAGTGTCTGTGTGTGCGTTTGCGTGTGTGTGTGTGTGTGTGTGTGTGTGTGTGTGTGTGTGTGTGTGTGTGTGTGTGTGTGTGTGTGTGCGTGTGTTTGTGTGTGTGTGTGTGTGTTTATATGTATACGTCTCTACTTATATATGCTTATGCATATATATATATATATATATATATATATATATATATATATATGTATTTACACACACACACACACACACACACACACACACACACACACACACACACACACACATATGTATATATATATATATATATATATATATATATGTATGTATATATATATATATATATATATATGTATGTATGCAAACACACACACATATACATACATGCATATGTATGTATGCGTACATATATATGTGTGTCTCTCTATGTATATGTGTGTGTATGTGTGCGCGCGTGTATGTGTGTATGTGTGTGTATGTGTGTGCTCGTGCGAGTGTGTCTGTGTGTGTGTGGCGTGTGTACGTATAAATTTTTATATATGTATATTTGTGGTTGTATGTGTGTTTATGGTGCGTCGTCATTATCAAAGTTAGCAGTAGTAACGATACCATTACCTTAATGAATACCATGATTATATTAATCTTTTTCATTATTGCGATTATTACCATAGCTTGTCCTTTCTATAATCGCCAGTGTTACCATTCCTGATATCACAAAGAGCACCATTTGCATTATCCCTTCGCCATTTTTATCATCCACATCAACATAATCATTATCACTACTAACATTGTTCGCATAACTTGTAATGGATGTTGTCCCTAATGACAGTAATAACAATATGATTTAACCACGTCAATCGCCACTCGAGGTCGACGATTCCAGAACGTTCTCACCCGTAGCAGAAGGTATCGGACACTGCCATGACGTCATTCTATACGCGTGGGGTATGGGCGTCGGTCCAAACTCCGGCACATAAAAGTTGGCGCGAGGCACTTCTCAGCATACAGTCTTTCGACAACACTCGCAGTGAACACATTGCAGCTTCGGACTCCCTGAGCCAACGCTCTTTATATCTCTCAGTTGTAAGCCTCAAGAGCAAGCATGGCCCCAATTCAAAGCACATTTCATCTTTTACTGAAGAGAATTCAGACAGAGCGACCAGCAAGACCTTCACAGCCAGCAGTTGCTTTAACACAGCCACAACGAGCACTTCAAGCAGCAGCATAACAGGCAGTGACAGTGCTATCGCCTCTGACCGTGACAGTCCAAGGAATCGCATCACCCACTTCGACAGAGACGGAGAGCGAGAGGTCGCGCTGCCCATCACCTCACGAGGTCTTCTATCATGACTCCTTCTTCAAGGATCTCCGAGAGCATTTCAATGATGCCGTAAAGGAAACACTGGACCTGTGGAATTCCAGGTCACCTTTCGAGGACGACCTGCTTTGCTACAGACGAATGCGAGACCTCAACCTCACGGAAGAGACTCAGGCTCTTCCGTCAAGGAGGACGACAACTCTCACCAGGTAAATGTCGTTCACATGCAGTATACTGTTGTTGAACTTATTACGGAGGAAATCAGTTATTTGTGTCTCTGATATAATATTTTGCTATTCATAGATACATGTTCCTTTCCCCAGGTCGTGATTGACGTGCGCGACTTCATGGACGGCGACATCAAGGTGAAGGTGGTGGACGACAGCGAACTGGTGATCGAAGGCAGCGTCGAGAAGCGACGAGATGGCGCCGTCTCGAAGAAGACTTTCTGTCGACGCTTCTCATTCCCGGGTCTCTTGAGCGAAGACGCTGTGTCCTCGTCCATGTCGGCAGATGGAGTTCTTACTGTCACTGTTCCAAAGAAGGTGCGTGATAAATGTCAAAATGGATAGTGAACACAATCATTTTCAGGCTGCGCATTATCTGAAAACTTTTTACAGACAAGGAACCTTCATTTACATGAAATTCTTCTTCCAGAGTTCCTTGACAAACAACAAGGAGGGCCAAACTATCAAAATCACTGCCTCGCACAAAAAGTCTGCAGATGCTACAAAGACTCACACGAACATCACCAACAACGTCGAAACGAAACAAGTTAGTGTCGAAGGAAAACATCAAAATCGTCTGGAGTGAAAGTGGAAGAGGATCAGACTCAGTCGACGGAGTCTCAGAACACGCAGGACTCGAGCGACTCGACGCAGGCCAACCCACTTGCTTCGTTCCACCTTCTTCCCATTTCGGAAAGAGGGCCTTTCTTCCGCGATTCCTTCTTCCAGGACACTCGAAAGCAATTCCAAGAAGCCGTCGACCAAGTCCTCAAAGAGTGGGGACAAGTGGACTCTGCGAGCGACCACATGAACATGTACAGGAACTTGCGAAAGCAGAACTTGCAGGAAGAGAACCAAGCCGTCGCCTTCAGCGAGGACCACCAGTGTTATAAGGTCAGTTGGAAGGGCATTCAGTACTGATACATTTGACTTCATTTTATCAGGTAAACAATCCATTGCTTCATAAACTCATGCTGTTGCATCCATGTGTGTGAATCAATATTAAAAAATTTTCAAATGAATTCAGATTGTGGTGGATGCACAAGACTTCAAGGAAGGCGACGTCAAGGTCAAGGTGGTGGACGAGAATGAGCTAACAATCGAAGGCAATTTGGAGATCAAGCGAGACGATTCCGTGTCCAGCAAGAGTTTCTTCCGCCGTTTCTGCTTCCCAGGACTCGTGAGCGCCGACACCGTGACGTCCGGGATGTCATCTGACGGCATCCTCACTGTTACTGTACCAAAGGTAAGTCTGCAAAGCATTTTCGATCATTTCATTTTATATTATGGATTCCAGAAAAACGACTGATATAGTTCTTTAAACACAGTTCAATAATCTCTATTTTCTTCAATCAGACAACATCGGGATCGAAGGCCAGTGCGGTTTCTGAAGCGTCAAAATCTCAGGTTTCCCAGACTTCATCTCAAAACACAGAAGACAAACAAACTCTCACAAAGGTATCCAAATCAGAACAGCAAAGTTTTCGTTCCGAGTATCAGAATGCATCTACCAGAAGGACTGAAGCGACATCGTCACTCGCAAACAAAATTACAAGTGAGGAAAACCAAGAAGGCGCCAATAGTAGAATCTGTGAAAGCGGAAGCTCGCTTCTAGAAAGCACACAGTCAAGCAAGGACGCAGTGGACGACCAGTGGCTTCCCATCTCCTCGAAGGGTCATTTCTTCTCTGATTCCTTCTTCGAAGACGTCCGTAAGGACTTCGAAACGGCTGTCAATGAAGTCCTCAGCAGGCATGACATCATGAGGAGTGCCAACGACGAACTCTCCTGCTACCGAAGTCTCCGGGAACGTGAGCTCAAGGATGAGACTCAGGCGATGAAGACCACGGAAGATCAACACGGATTTAAGGTGAGCATATGACGTCTTGGTGAAGTAATATTTAAATAAACATTAGAATTAACCTATCGGTTAAATAATACTCGCTTATAAGACGACTTCATGAACGAAGACGTCAAAGTGAAGGTGGTGGACAACAAGGAGGTGGTGGTGGAAGGTCGTGCGGAGAAGAATGACGGAACCGTAAGGTCAAGCAAGAGCTTCTGTCGACGCTTCACTCTTCCTGGCGCAGTGGACATGAATTCTGTCACCTCAGCCATGTCCTCCGACGGTGTCCTCACCATCACTGCGCCCAAGGTTTAAAAATTGGGTCAATGAAAGCTTCAACGAATCCTTTACAATGATAAGGGAATCAGCTGTTACAGACGTTGTTGATGGAGTTGTTTATTGTTGATTTTTATAGACCTGAATTGCGATATATTTTTTCTGAATATATTTTCATATGAAATAAAATATATTTGTCTATAATGCATTTTACATAACCTATGATATCATATGTATGGAAGCTTTATGAAAGGTTTTCTATCGTTATACTTGTATTTCTGATGACATTTCTTATACTCAGAATACGCATTGCCAAAGTTACATAAAGATGCACATGCTACATTCTCTTGTGCATGGCATGTTGCCATGCTTAATCTACAGGAGCATGCATAGATATACATATATACCGTGCAATACAAAAATACCTCGCATAAGCACATGATTCTCTTTTATACTGTAAAATATACGACAGAAATTAAGAAAACTTTGTAAAACTTTATTTGATACATTGTATTCTTTCTTATATCTGTCAGTATGAAAAATCGCATTCGCTATTCACTAACACTGCCACTTCAGCCACAATTTCATATGTTGAAGTACAGAAAAGTAATGGAAAGTTTATTGTCAAAAGATTTTTTAAGACTAATCCATAGATAACAGACAGGCAGGCATATAGAAGCAAGAGCTTAGATATGCACAAAGGTGCCCATTCTTATCCATGTGGATATACACTTCTAACGTATCGATATGAACTTTCTCTCACTCGTTCAATTTTGTCTCTTTGCCTTTTCAATAAAAAAAAAAAAAATACAAAGAGAGCTTCAAATGACAGTCGTTATATCGTAAATATAAGAAAATAAGAAAATTTCAGTTAATGTCAGATCTAGACCAGTTAAAAAATATCCTCTTTAAAAAACATTCTTGAATAAACAAATAGCAGTTTCTAAAAGCCTCATTTTTAGGAAGAAAGCTGCAGAGTTAGCACTTGTCTAGTTCCAGATAATGCTAAAAGAAAAAAAATGGTTGTGATTTTCGTTAAGATGTAATGGACCAAAAGCCATAAAACCCCAGTGAAACGTTAGACTTCACAGCTGACAACAGTGGGACGATGTTGATGTTCTTGTGTTTCTTTATGTTGAATATGAAGGGAAATCAAATTCAGAATCGCTGCATTATCCACACACACATATGTGCGTGTGCATACACACACACACACACACACACACATATATATGCACACACACACATATATATATGCACACACACACAAACATATATATACACATACATGTGTATATGAACACAACACACAACATGATATATATGAGCATACACACACACACACACACACACACACACACACACACACACACACACACACACATGTATATGCAAACATGTATATTTATATATCTGTACATATATTTCTAAATATAAATGCAGGGATTTAGCCTATAAGGACAGAAGTCCTTGCTTCCTCATTTCCTATTGTTTATTTTACAAATATATTCTGCTATATGTCTGGCGTCTGTTAACAAGAGAAGGAAACGAAAGATAGAAAATTAATAGCTGTCTCTTTTCAGCGCAAAAGATAATTAAGATCATTTATGAATTATGTTCACGGTTTGGAGGCCAGTGCGGTCCCGCTGGTCCACAGTGGCGGCAAAGATGACCTCATACAGTACAAGATTAGGCTACAATATGTGTAACAGCGCAAGCAGACAAAAGCAAACGAAGAAAATGAGATACACTCTGCCAAAGCATTATATTTGGTATATATGTGTGTGTCTATGTGATTGTGTACACACATTTACATTCATATACATATACATATAAGCATTTACACACACATACATGCATACATATAGACACGCACACATACACACGCATAAAGACATATACATGTTTGTGTGTGTGTGTGTGCGTGTCTGTGCGTATGCATGCCTGGTGTGTGTGCGTGCGTGTGCATGTGTGGTGTGTGTATGTACGCATAAATCTCGTGCATATATGTATATATACACATATAAGTACTGCATGGATTCATGTATGTAGTGTATACATATATATATGCGTGTGGTTCCATATCGTGTAACATAATCATGCATCGAGTGAAATAACGACCATTTTCATGTAAACATTTTTATAAGGGCATCAAGGATCACAATAAACCTCATCGTCCATATTTGGTCTGAAGGAATCCGACTGGTGCTTCACGATGATTCATCCTACAACAAACGGGATCAGATTTCTTCAACTTATTTGTGAGATTTGGAGGAAAACGTGGAGATAATCTGCCTATTATCCGATTTCTTAACTGTATTTCTTGCATAAGAATAGCATTCTATAACCTCTTGAATGTACACATGAACAAGGTTTACTTATAGATGGTAATATGTGATAATTGTGATGAAGCTATATTATTTGTAGAAAATTCGAAATCTAACAATATATCGCAGATCGAAAATAAAAAGCAATAATAATTATAATAATAATAATAAGAAATAATAGCAATGATAATAATATGCATTCCGTCACTAACGCGTCCATTACAGACATATGGCAACTCCATTTTTACCATTTTGGGAATATGAACATCGCCATATCAAACACAAGTCCATACACAGAAAAGTGAATAAGGATTGAACCAGAATCTTCTCATAGTGCGAGGAAGGGAAAGGAACGCGCCATGACATCATCAGGTATGCCTGGGCGGTGGGCGTCGCTCCAAGTCGGGACACATAAAAGGTGGCGGTTCGTCTGACCCGCCAGTTACTTCTACGCTAACACTTGCAGCGAACACACCGCGAATCAACGACCTCCATTTCAAAAGCTTCTTGATCTATTTGTGTACAGAAAGAGCAAAATGGCCCCAATTCAGAAGCATTTCTCTTCTCACGTTGAAGAGAACTCAAGCAGCGCAAGCAGCAAGGCCTTCACGACCAGCAGTTCCTTCCACACAGTCAAAACGTCTTCGTCCCACAACAGTGCAATTGCCAGTGAAAGCAAAACAGCCACGAACAGTGATCAGCCAGACACGCATCTCCTCCTTGAAAACCAGGCTGACCGAGAGGTTATGCTGCCCATCACCTCACGGGGTCATTTCCACCACGACTCTTTCTTCGAGAATCTCCGCCAGCAGTTCGACACAGCCGTGCGAGACATGCTGGATCTGTGGGATTCACGCATCCTTCGAGGACGACCTTCTCTCCTACAGACGAATGCGAGATCTCAACCTCACGGAAGAGACTCAGGCTCTCTCCGTCAGCCAAGACAACACGTCGCATCAGGTAAGTGGCTTCCACAGTAATGATTTACTCGTATCTTATGGTGATATATACGTGGCATTATCTGTTGTATATTGGTTGTACGAATGAATTCCTTAAAGATGCAATAATGACCTCTGACTTTCCAGGTCGTGATTGACGTGCGCGACTTCATGGACGGCGACATCAAGGTGAAGGTGGTGGACGACAGCGAACTGGTGATCGAAGGCAGCGTCGAGAAGCGACAAGATGGCGCCATCTCGAAGAAGACTTTCTGTCGACGCTTCTCATTCCCAGGTCTCTTGAGCGAAGACGCTGTGTCCTCGTCCATGTCGGCAGATGGAGTTCTTACTGTCACTGTTCCAAAGAAGGTGCGTGGTAAAAGCTGTCAAATTGGACTGAATATAATCACCATTTACTGGCGGCGCATTATCTGAAAACTTTTTACAGACAAGGAACCTTCATTTACATGAAATTCTTCTTCCAGAATTCCTTGACAAACAACAAGGAGGGCCAAACTATCAAAATCACTGCCTCGCACAAAAAAGTCTGCAGATGCTACAAAGACTCACACGAACATCACCAACAACGTCGAAACGAAACAAGTTAGTGTCGAAGGAAAAACATCAAGATCGTCTGGAGTGAAAGTGCAAGAGGATCAGACTCAGTCGACGGAGTCTCAGAACACGCAGGACTCGAGCGACTCGACGCAGGCCAACCCACTTGCTTCGTTCCACCTTCTTCCCATTTTCGGAAAGAGGGCCTTCTTCCGCGATTTCCTT